ACCGTGCCCGGCTGGCCTCCGCTCTTAATTCAAATCCAAAACCATCTACATCTCTGCTTTTACTTATTCAACTCAGCCGCAGAACATCCTACATGCCCCTTCTTCATTTCTGTTCTTTCTTTTCTGTCATCCTCTTTTTGAGAAACGATCTATGGCTTCTCATCTGTCAGGGAAATCCCTGTTTTCATAGATCTACCTTTGCTGATCCATTCAGTTTTCAATCACTGACTTTAATACAAGTGGAAGCCTTGCAAAAGAGTGCCTATTCCAGGAAAACCTAAGTCCTGGAGTTCCCACTCCTGTCCAAATATCAGACACTCTTCTCTTTATCATGCCCTGACCACCATGCTTCTGTGCATAACTTCAGACTCAACAGTTTCGTGGTCTCCTAGGATTATTTTCCCTATAGGAGAGTGAAATACTGCAGTAAACATTTGTCATTCTTTTGCGATCTTCAGAATGCCTTTCTTGGGGGAATTCTCTCACCTTATATTTTTCTGTAGACTCGCCTCCCTCTACTAAAGCCCCAAATCCCAGAACGAATTTTTCCAGCTTCCTTTGCATTGTAGAAAATTTCCCAGTTACAGAAGTGGAGAGAATAGTACAATAGCCTCCTTTCTGCCCTTTATCCAGCTTCAACATGATCATCACCCAGCTATCTTTCTCACCTCTTCTTTTACCTTGCTCCCCTCTGCGCTCTCTGCTGTGGCCACCTTGACCTCCACACAGCCCTTCCACCATCAGGATGGGTCTGGGGCAGGTCACAAATGGTTAAAGCCATAGGAGAAGCATTGCTCACATTAAAGATGCCCAGAAGGGACGCTCTGAGGCGCTCACAATGCCATTCATGGGGGAAGCAGTCAGATGCAACATGGCCAGATTGTACTGATGCCACCAAGTAAGATGTTTTCTGCTTCTTACCTTTATGCCCTTCTAGCTTCAGACTCTATAGGATATAGAATGTAAGCTAGGAAGGTGGAGGGGAGGGGAGAAAGTACAGAGAGGGAAACAGGGAGAAGCTGCATCTGACCCTTTCTACCTGCGGGCCCCGCTGGGAAGCAGCAGAGACAACGCAATTGAAAATGCGTTTTAGAATTTTGGATTGAACGTTTTATTTACTGAAATGAGATTGTTTCCATGAAAAAAAGTGATCAGTGGGCTTTTAACGGTCTTGGAGTAATTAGAAAATTATGGGTAGATTATACTCAGGGGAAGGGAAGAAGAAGCCCACAGAGGGAACTTGAACCGTGGGTGGAGAAAAGCCGCACCCGTAGGAGTCCGCTCCTTCAAAGTAACAGCTTCCTACGTTTCTTTATTGTCTGTCTGAATGTGAGTTCAACGAGATCTTGTTCTGTTTCATTTGTTGCTACACCCCTAGTGCTTAGAACAGGATCTGGCACAGAGTGGGCCTCAGTAAATGTTTGTTAAATCACTATTGAATCAATAAAATAAATGTGAAGTCACCCACACTTATAAATTTTCATATGATAACTCATCAAAAACCATCATAAAAATATGAAAATATTTTCCAAAATATTCTTGTTTCTTCTTCTTCTTCTTGTTCTTGTTCTTCTTCTTGTTCTTCTTCTTCTTCTTCTTCTTCTTTTTTTTTTTTAGTGGTCTTGCCTTATCAATGCCTGAAACTATGTCTAATTGTATATTGAATGTCTCCTTGCGAACTGTGCTTGCGAGGCAATTGACCTCTGGATGAAAAGTGAAAAATGGACTCAATCATCTGCACATTTTATCAAAATGAGAATTTCCCAGAGTGTTTTTCTTGGGCACTGGTTCCACAGAATGTTAAGAGATATTATATTAATTAAAATGTTTTCATGGTTAAATAAACTTGGAAAAAACAGAGTGAAACAAAGTTAAATAGATTTCTTTACTGCAGGACTTTTCAGAGACTTTAACATGCTAATATGTCTTATTAGCCTCTATGAGTGGAATGTAGTAAGAATGCAACATTTTCCAAATTTGTTGACTACAGAATCCTTTTTTTTCCACTGAGCATTTCATGAGACCACTATGCCAAGGAGCGTATTTTTGGGAGCTGTGGTTTATGCGATATATAGGCACGTTTGATAGGCTGAAAGTGTCTCTTTCGTCCAGGTGCTTGTCATTTTGTGGAGGTGGTTTCTGTGGGTGATGATGACTAATCAGTAGTTTTTTAGAGGTTGGGGGTGGAGAAGGAGGCCGTGGCTGTGGCTTTATCGCATGATCTTCGTAATCCACCTGATTCTATGAGCTGGCTGGTATTTATACCCCTAGTATTGCAGAAGAGGAAAGGGATTCCTAGAGAGGTTGATTGCCTGGCCCAAGCCCTGAGTAGAACTAGGATGGGATTGTCCTGCCTTGCTCTGGTGTGCTGGGATGAGAGAAGGGAGGTATTTTCTTACCTAAGGAAAAGGGAGGCTGCTGAAAGTGTAGGTTTGCACTGCAACGGAACATTAATTATGAGAAACAGCCCAGTATGACAGAAGGAGCACCAAATGGGAGCCTCAGAAAACTTGACCTGGGGCCTCGTCTCTGCCAGTAATTAGCTGAATGACCTAGAACTTGACCTTTCTTGGCCTCAGTTTCATATTCCATAAAAGAAGGGGTGAGCCAAGGTCCTTTCCAGCATTGTCACTGAGTGACTGAGAAATGAAAGCGAAGTCACCTGCACGGCCTTTCCGTTGATGTCTGTCCCCATTGACCCTGCGGTGAAGACGGCGTTAGGCACCGTGACTGTGCTTGTTTCAGACAAGTGTATATAGGACTGGGGGATGTTGAGTTCTCGACTAGCCACCTGCCAGAAGCAGAAGAAAAACATTTGTTTCATGGACTTTAAGCCTCTCCACCAAATCAAAAACCTTTACGTCCTTTTTAGAGCTGAATACAAAACCTGGCTGCTCTCCTGTAGAGACCAACATTTAAGCTGGCATCCGGGGTTGGTAAGTAGATTGATGCATTCGAAGATTTTAAACGGCACTGTAAAAGACACACTCCTTTTGAGAGACATGTGGCCAACCACAGAGCCTCATTATGCTCTTTTTCAGACCAGTGTCATGGAAGTCATGTGGCAGGATGTTCACTGTGGGACATCTAATTTAGTAGGACAGGTGCAGGCAAGCACAAGACCATGATCTCGCTGTTTCACCTTCATCTCTTCCTCGTGGTTTACAGACAATTTAACAGATTATGTTTACTTTGTTGGACATTTTAAGGATTTTGTTGGGAGGAAGCAAGATATGTTCAAAGAAGGCCCTGTGTATTTTTGTGCTTTTCTAATTCCAAGTATACTATTTAGTAAATACTACTTAAAAATATTCTTTTCTTAGGGTGAATATCTTCTCTCTATATCTCATTGGGAGAGAAGCTTTGTTTCCCATGCACATTTTTGATTCAAACGTCATATTCAACAAATTCTTATTTCACATCAAAAAGAGAGGAAAATTTGTTATTGCAGGAATCTCTTGCTTTTTTGATAATATTAGAAACACTTCTTTGAATTAGCACACATGGTGGCTAGTCATGTGACATTCTTAAGTAGATCGTAAATTCTAAGAGCATAATTTTTCATCTTATTAAATGCATTCATTTCTTTTTTTTTTTTTTGAGACAGAGTCTCACTGTGTTGCCCAGGCTAGAGTGCTGTGGCGTCATCCTAGCTCACAGCAACCTCAAACTCCTGGGCTCAAGCAATCCTTCTGCCCCAGCCTCCCGAGTAGCTGGGACTACAGGCATGCGCCACCATGCCCGGCTAATTTTTTCTATATATTTTTAGTTGTCCAATTAATTTCTTTCTAATTTTTAGTAGAGATGGGGTCTCGCTCCTGCTCAGGCTGGTTTCGAACTCCTGAGCTCAAACAATCCACCCGCCTCGGCCTCCCAGAGAGCTAGGATTACAGGCGTGAGCCACCGCGCCCAGCCTGCATTCATTTCTAATTGAGAATTTGAATGAACATAGGATTGCTTTGAGCAATTGCCATTGAGAAACAAAAATAAAATCCTCAGCTCCCCAACTGACTAAATGGATCCCCTCTTGGCCAAGGGGACCCCAGAGAAACCTTAAAAACTGAATTCCTGGCCACTATCGGATGGGAGGTCAGACGTGCCTTGTTATCCCCCCTCCCTCATTAACTGACATTAGACTTTCCTACCTGAGGCTAAACAGAAACCAACCCTTTCCAGAGACTTGCTCCACCACTGATTTCAACCAACTGCCTGATGCGGCAGCTGGACTCCCCTCCCTTTTTGCAGTTTTGACACAACTGACCAGCATTCCTTGCTAAGAGACCACGAACCGTGGACTGGTTCTGGCTGGTTTACAGGACTTCACACAGGTTGCATCTGTGTCCTCTCTTTTACTTTCAGACGTACAGAGCCTAATTTTAATGCATTTAAATGTTAAGTCTCCGCCCCAAAGTGATGCATGTTTGCCTACTACGAACACATGCGTCCCCCCTTTGTGAATATCCATAGCTCCTCCTATAACCTGTTGAACGTGTATATTTACCCAACCCATTTAGCATAAATTCCTGTCTCACCCTTCCTCCTTCAAAGTGCTTGCTTTTGGTTTCTGCTGGAGGCCACCTTCCCAGCCTACAGGATGGCCAGCCAGCAGGCTGCAACACTTTATACGAAATAAAGCTCTTCTCTCCAAATTTATGGATATCATGATTTTAAGTCAACACCATAAAGCTTAAAAGTATTTCATCTTGAAAAATTCAAATAACATTTTTCAGGAGATCTATGGACTTGGTTCTTTTCGTGTGCAGGAGGAATAATAGAATGTATTGCCTCAATCCTAACACCCATTGCCCTCATCCCCCTGCATTTTTGCATTTCTGAAGACAGGATGAGTCCTACAATTGACTTATGCATGTAGTTTCACTGTATTTATTTTATTTAACAAGAAAATAGCTGTTAAGTTGATTGTAACATGCTATACTCCTCTATTGATACATTTGAGAAGATGGACACTTATCTCACCTGAATAGTTTTGGTGTGCAGGCCTTGTCCCAGTTCACAGCCACCATGAGTCACCAAGACAGAGCCATCCAGATAGATGGGACTAGAGCAGCTGCCTGGGGGGAAACAATTGTAATACCAGTTTGGAAACTGATGCAGCCAAATGTTGTTGTGAGTGTAGCCAAGGTTGCTGGATGAATAGTTTTGTTTCATTGAGCCAATCTCTCATTTTTTGTTCTAGAGAAGAGAGCTATTATTGGTGGCTACAGACAACCTCTTGCAAGAAAGCTGAAACTTCAAAACCATTAATGTAGACAGATGAATGTGCTCCTCTTCCCTTCCACCAGTCTCCTGCCTCCTGGCCTTGTGTGGTTGCCTTGAGAGCTGCCTCTCCAAAGCTCCAACCTGCATAACATTTTATTATTCTTCCTTCCCTGGACATGGAAATTAATTTTAAAGTAAATGGAACCTACATGAGTAAATTTACAAGCATGACCTCTCCTGGATACTCAGAGGAACTGGAAGAACCTTGAGATGTTTTAATGGTTTCCAGACACTGATCTTCCAGTATAATGATGGGGGAGGGGGTCTGTGTCCCACTCTGGAAATTCAGTGGCAGGTTGGAGGTGGTTCCCAAATACCCATTTTTAAAGCTCCCAGGTGATTTTGATAATTAGCCAGGTTTGGGATTCACTGATTTAGTCCAAATTCTTCACTTTGCCCATGGGAGAATAGAAGCCTAGAGAGGGGAGACTTGGCCATAGCCAGATGCCTAGTTTGTGGGAAAGTCAGGGCTGGAACCCACAGTCCTAACTTGAGTCCAGTGTTCTTGGCTATCACACCATGCTGCCTCCTCAAACTAACTGCTGCTGTCCATCTCTGCAGCTGGTTGTTTTAACTGAGGAATCCACAGAATGCACATGTGGCTCCAGGCACCAGACCCACAAGAGGGAGGAGGCTGGGCTACGTAGGGTGGTTCTACGCTGGGATTTTTCTTGAGAGCAATCCCCACCATGTGCTCAGGCACGAGGCCCAGGATTCTGCACCTACCCCTTGGGCTCCTACCTCCGGATTAAGGCCTGTGCCCCTGCTACTAAGCAGGCAAATACCAACTAACTCATCTCTCTCAGTCTTCTGGGTATGACACTATATTCACAGAATCACTAAGTCCTCCACAGGAACTTTTAAAATTTGTGTTTTTGTCTCCTTGACAATCTAACAAGAGTAATGTATGACCACGCATGAACAAGTATTGCCATGTACTTTCAGATACCATGTTAGATTTTAGGTTGATGATTGTCTAAGCACCAGGTAGGATGACATTAATTGATGGAGCATATTCGAGATAAGAGGTGGGGCAGTGAGTCATCACACCATCATAGACATTTAGGATGCAGCAGCAGCCAGGACCACCATCGATTTGGGAGTAAGGATTTAGTTTTAGAAAAGCAACATCATTCACCACATTCAATTAATGGCACTATTTTGAATACTACTAGCATTTATAGCATTATTTTTACTTAATTTGCAAATTTGTTTTTTTTGTAAAGGCATAAGAGCTAAAAGAAGCTTATTCTTTGTTTTGTGGTTATACACCGTTAAATAACATCAAAATAAATAATTTAAGCAACCATGGAGAGTCCACAAGAATTTTCTCCTTTAAGCGCATCTGTGTGTTATTCTGGCTTGAGAAATACTACCTGGGGAAAAGATGTACACCTGCTCCAGGTGGTGCAGTGCTTCTGGCCGTCCCCTTCCTCCTTCTCATTGTCCTTCCTACCTTGTTAGTGGACTCTGAGGAAGGGTGTGCACAGGAGATAATTTTGGTAAGAGACAGCCTGGGCAGACCTCAGTCACACCATGAAGGGGGCCTATATGCCTTCCTTTGCCTGGCTTGGCTTATGGAGACATTTCAGAAATTTATGGGGATGGAAACAAAAAAATAAATGACAGAATCAGACACGGAACCCTACAAAAAGGTGGTTATAATGAAACTAAAAAGGAGACCTAGGAGTCACTGAGCCCCGATATAGTAACACCAAGTTTCTACGTGAATCGCGTAGCTCTGTCTGTTCTCATGTGTTTTTGCAAGCTCTGTCTTCAAATGACCTACTGCTTTCACTAAGACACTAGGGAAGAGAGAAGGGGATCCTTTTGTTACCCTCTAGTTTTCTCATGGATTTGAAATTTGACTCTATACCTCAAAACCTATATTTGGGGCCCTGCTACCCCAGCCCAGAAGCTCCTGAGCTGGACTTTATTCTTGATTGGTTTCTGAGGTTCCTGATATGGTGACCTGCCAGGTCTGCCCTGACATCGTGGTCCCCAACACTTGTCTAAACACACTCTCTCTATTTCCTGCTAAAGGAAACTGCCCAGTTTCTTCACTCTTCCCCAGAGGGAAACATCCCTGGTTGCACAGGATTGCCTTTTCTGGGCAGCCAGTCATTTGGAAAAGAGCTTTGGATGGAAAGATACCTCCCCCAAACTCACCTGATTGTAGTAGGCCATGGGCATCCCAATGGTAAATTTCATGGGGACTACGGCAAGCCCCCTCTTTTTCCAGTAATTCTTTTGGTTAAATTCCTCTGCTGCCAGTTTCCTAGCATGGAAGGAAGATTTCTCCAGACATTCCTTCCAGCATCTTCTCAAGGGCTCCGGATTAAATGTCTGCTTATAGGCTGTTTTGCTAATTCTCTTAAGCATGTTTATTTCTTTAACCTGAAAGATGAGAAAATAAAATGGATTTCAAGGAAAGATGATTGTTCTATACGTGAAGCATGCGTTTTTGTTATATGCCTGAAAGTCTTTCAAAAAAAAAAGAAATAACTATCTAAATGGCTATAAATATGCACGTGCAAGTGTGCATGTATAAACATAATAATAACAACAATAGAAACTACTATTGAATGCTTTGTATGCATGAGGCTCTAGAGTGTATTATCTCAGTGAACTTCACAATAACTCCAAGAAGTCCCAACTATTAGTAGCCCTGTTACAAGTTTGTTAGTGGTGAGACAAAATTCTCCTGATTCAAAATCCTTTTACTCCCACACAACATTGCCTTATTCTTAACTGTTCTCAAATTAGCTCCTCAAAGTCTTGAACTGTGGTAAAATATTTGTACAAATGGGCATAATCTTTCTGCTCTATTTATTCCCTTGGGTGGTTTCACACTGATTCTGGGATTAGCCGTGTGTCTTGTTTTGGCCAATGGGACTATGCATACATATGAGGCAGATGGAGACTTGAAAAGTGCTTGTATATTAGGGCTTGCCACATTCTTGCTGCTTTGGGGAACCCAGTGACCACCACCATGAGAAGAAGTCTTGGCTAGCCTGGAGGATGAGACACTCTGGAACTGAGGCATCCAATTGAACTGGCCTAGACCAGAAGAGCTGCCCAGCTGACCCACAGAATCATAACAAATACTATCTATTATTTTAAGACTCTAAATTTTGTGGTCAATTCACCACATAGCAAAAATCAGTAGAAACATAGATGATGCACTTTATTTCTTTGAATCTATATAGAAGCCGACATAATGCACTATGTAGGTGCTCAAGATATAATGGAACCAGTATTCTCAGTATTTTATTAGGGAACTCTTGACTGATTACCTCTTCAGGGAGTAAGTTACATTGAGATGCCACAGCAGTTATGTAAGCTTCAACGACCACCATAGCCTGAGGGAAGCCAAATCCTCGGAAGGCAGTGTTGGATGGCAAATTTGTTTTGCACGGCCTACCATGGCACCGGAAATTAGGAATATAATATGCATTCTCAGATTTCAATACAATGAACTCCAACACCTGAATTAAAGCAAAACAAAACAAAACTTCACATCTGTCAAACATTCAAAACCACTTATCTGAATTTTATCTCTGACTTGACCCTTTCACAGAATTTATCTGATTTGTAAGACAAACACTCATGCAGATGAAGTGTGGTGCATATAGCTCAACTGGTAACCTTTGGGGAAAGCATGTTTCTTACTTACCAGCTCAGATTCATCAGGAGTGCACCCACCAGTGACATAATATTCAACATCAGCAGCTTTGATCACACCGTTGTTCATGAATCCAATCTGCAAAGTGAAGGCAATCCTTGCGACAGTCCTTCTTTGCAATCAAATCATGCTGTACACAAATATCTCTGATCATGGTTGTCAATCCATACTTAACTTATGTACATGATTGAATACATCAGTGACCAGAGGAGTAGTAAGAATGGTGCCCAAGTTGAACATGATCCTAACAGAAGGTTCTGACTCATTTTAGGCAGCATTCAAATATCCCTTTCAAGGAGTATGGAATGTAGTAGTTGTCTTTAGTATTGGTTGGTTAACACTGGACAGTGTCGTAGGCAGTTTGCTGAATCATTCTCTCACTCACTTTGTATTTCCCAAGGAGTGGGTGGCGGCCAGCAGTTATCAGCATGTCATCTCCACGCTCCAGGATAAACCGGATTGGGCGGCCAGTCCCATGGGAAGTGATACTGTTAATATGCTGGATGCTTCACAAAGTTGTAGAAACACAGAGATGGGGGAAGGGGACTGGAGATAATGTAGCTTATTGGTTTTCAGTGGGGGTTATAACATTCCTTAGACAATGTTTTGGAAGTTTGTGGGGCACTAAAATTAAAAAAAATATTATTGCTGTAATCGCCTTTGGGGTCTTACTCATAAATTCTTTGTCTAGGCTGATATCTAGAAGAGGGTTTCCTACATTTTCTTCTAGAATTCTTAGGGTTTCATGCATTACATTTTTAAGTCTTTCATCCTTCTTGAATTAATTTTTGTGAGTGGTGAGAGAGATGGATCCTGTTTCATTTTTCTGCATGTGCCCATCCGATTTTCTCAGCACCATTTATAGAATAGCACTTCTTTTCTCTAGCATATATTGTTGTCTGCTTTGTCAAAGTTGGCTGTATGTTGATGGTTCTATATCTGCGTTCTCTATACTTTCCACTGGTCTATGTCTCTATTTTTGTGCCAGTACCATGCTGTTTTGGTTACTATAGCTTTGTAGTATAGTTTGAAGTCTTGCACAGGCTGGTCTTGAGCTCCTGAGCTCAAATTATCCTCCTGCCTCGGCCTCCCAGAGTGCTAGGATTACAGGTGTGAGCCACCATGCCTGGCTGAGTCTTTGGGGTTTTCTAGATAGAAGATCATACAAACATAAATAAATGGGACTTGATTAAATTAAAAAGCTGCTGCACAGCTAAGGAAATAATCAGCAGAACAAATAGAAAACCTACAGAATAGTAGAAAATATTCACAAGCTATACATCTGATAAAGGGCTAATAACCAGAATCTACAGATAACTCAAGCAAATCAGCAAGGAAAAAACCAAACAACCCCATTAAAAAGTGGGCAAAAGACATGAAGGTTTTCAAAAGAAGATAGAATAATGGCCAATAAACATATGAAAAAATGTTAATCATCAGAGAAATGTAAATTAAAACCACAATGAGATATCACCTTACCCCAGTTAGAATGGCTTTTATTTTTAAAAAGTCCAAAAACAGTAGATGCTGGCATGGATGCAGAGATAAAGGAACGCTTATATACTGTTGGTGGGACTGCAAATTAGTATAACCTCTATGAAAACAGTATGGACATTCTTCAAAGAACTAAAAGTAGATCAACCATTTGATCCAGCAATCCTACTACTGGGTATTTGTTGCTCCATGAATTAATATAGATATGTTCACAGACAGGATTTGTCTTAGGAATTTTGCAGAGCTTTGCCCTGAAGGAATATGTGAACGTGTTGGTTTGCATTTCAAATGCTGTTGCACTTGGAAGGGTGACTCTGAAAGACAGTAGCTACTGTATCCCACAAGGCGCTGCGTTTCTCAGAACTAAAGGTTTGGATTTGCTTTGTAAAGCAAAGTGAATCTGTTAAAAACTACAGGATGAGAGCTGACAATGGAGTGCCCCCCGGAAGAGACAGCTGCTCAAATGGCTAAAAGCAAAGGTCTTGTTTAAACACTCTACACTACCTGTCTCCATTCACAATAACCTAATAAATGTGGAGCCACCATATCTCTGTTTAACCCCTCTGTTAAGTGATAAATTTACCTTAGAACTTAGAAGTTAATCTTTGAAAGGTTTTGTAACCTTTCACGTAGATAGAATTAGTTAAAAGATCTGTAGAAGCCTTTTGAAAATCTGTTAACCTGAGAGGAAATACCTGTTGTTATGTAAATCTGTTACCCCTGGCAATTAATCACTATTCCCTATAAGTTACCATGTAAGACCTCATTCGGGGCTTTTTGAGACCCACGGAGAAGGTCTAGGCCCCCTGAGATCCTGCTTTGCCTATAGTCTTTATAAACTTATGAAACTATATCTTTGTCTCTGTGTATTCTTTAATTTCTTTTATTTTCCATTTTTCTCTATTATTTTCTTATCCCTTGCAACTCTACCAAAGGGACCCGGTTTTTTGCTGGGAGCTTAGCTACCTCCCCGCAGGTATTTATCCAAAGGAAAAGAAGTTATTTTATCAAAAAAACACCTGCACTTGAATGTTTATTGCAACACAATTCGCAATTGCAAAGATGTGGAGTCAACCCAACTGACCATCAATTCATGAGTGGATTGACAAAATGTGATATATGTATACCATGGAATACTATTCAGCCATAAAAATGATGTATTAATAGCTTTTGCAACAGTTTGGATAGAACTGGGGACCATTAGTCTAAGTAAAGTATCTCAAGAATGAAAAAACAAATACTACATGTACTCGCTATTAAATTGGAACCAACTGATGAGCACACATGTGCACAGAGTGAAGTAAAACTCAGTGTAAATCAAGCGGGGGGTAGGGGGAAGGAAGGGATGGGTGAAAACCTACCTAATAGGTACAATGAACACTGTCTGAGTGATGGGCACACTTATAGCCCTGACTCAAGCATTACAAAAGTGATCCATGTAATCAAAAACATTTGTATCCCCAAAATATTTTGAAATTAAAACAATGAAAAAAAATGATACTAACATATTTTAACCTATTAAATAAAAAAATTATTATTATTCTGGCTTAGTTATATCTGAGAGTTTATATATTGCAATGATATTATTTGGTTATAAGTTATTTTTTATTTCTCTTTTATATTATATTAAGGAATTGTATGATTATTTTGTAATGATGTGTATAATTATGAATTTCACTTCGATATAGTAAAGGGGCGTTAAAATATTTGCCATAAGGGGGATGTTGAGACTGAGGGGGTTGACACCCAGTGCTCTGTCCTGCTCAACCTTCCTTGCATTCAGAATCCCTGCCATAAAATGTCCCCAGTGCCAGCAAACCTGCTACTTTCAGGACAACATTTTCTATTGTTGGAAAGTTCCAATGAGCTAAGATGTTCACAGTTTTCTTTTTATAGCAGTAGCCTGGGAGAAGTTAGGTTTGTCCTGAGTATATCTTGGTGAACTTTGGTAGTTACAAGGTTCAGAAAAGGCACGGCTGTTCCAGGGTTTGGATGTTCCAACTGCACGATGCAGAGGCTAAGTGAACATTCCCAGGCAGCAGCAGAGGCCTCAGCTTATTTCATAATAAAATGTGTCTTTTTTTTAAGGTTGGGGTTTTGACCTTCTTTTTACTCCACCAACCTCAGCAGAGCTGAAAGCTGGGGTGCGGGGCTGACAGAACTCGGGTGGCGTTAATGCTGCGTAGACTGCTGACTTACTTGTTGGCGGGCACAGCACTGACAGCTCCTAGCAGAGCAGGCTTGGTCACTTTTCCCCCAAACGCTCCTCCAGCTCTTTTCACGTGGCAGGCGATTCTGCTCCTTGGGACATTTAGTGTCGCAGCCACGTATTCCTGCAAGAGGTAAGTCCAGAAAGCTGTATCAGTGCAGTTTAATAGTCCACTTTAAACTCTGCCCATGAAAGAAATTTAGTAATTCAACAGATACTTTATATTTACAGAATTGTGCAACCATCACCATAATGTAATTTTAGAACATTTTCAGCATCCCCAAGGAAAACTTGTATACTTTAAGCAATCCATCCTTATCTCCCTCCAACCCCCCAGCACTGGGCAACTATTAATCTACTTTCTGTCTTTATAGATTTGCCTGTTCTGGACATTTCATGTAAGTGGAATCATAAAATAGGTCTTTTGTGACTGGCTTCTTTCACTTAGCATAACGTTTTCAAAGTTCATCCATGTTGTAGCATTATCAGTATTCCATTCCTTTTTATGACTAAATAATATTCCATTGTACGGATATATCACATTTTGTTTGTCCATTCGTCAGTTGATGGACATTGAGTTGTTTCTACTTTTGGCTATTATGAGTCATGCTGCTATGAACATTTGTGCATAAGTCTTTTTGTGGACGTGTGTTTTCATTTTTCTTGGGTAGATACTTAGTTGTGGAATTACTGGGTTTTATGTTCAGTGTATGTTTAACATCCTGATAAACAGCCAAACCATTTTCCTAAGTGGCTGTGCCATTGTTCATTCCCACCAGCAATGTATGAAGGCTCAATTTATCTGCATTCTTGCCAGTACTTGTTATTGCTTGTCTTTTTGATTATAGCCATTCTAGTGGGTGGGAAGTGGTATCTCATTGTGGTTTTGATTTGCATTTCCCTAGTGACTAATCATGCTGAACAGCTATTCATGTGCATATATATTCGTGGTTCACATATCTTCTTTGGAAAAACGTCTACTCCAGTCTTTTACTGGGCCTGCTTTTGACGCTGCCCCAGATTCCGGGCTGTGGCAGGCTGTGGCTATGCAGTGCCCTACTGACCCCAGGGAAATGTCTGCTGTGTTGGAGCTGACTGCAACCCAGGAGCTGTTGGTGGTAGGCGGCATTGGTGACTTTGGGATATATGTATTCTCCACTGGAGCCCAGAGTCACAGACCCCCTGCCAAAAGGGACCTCAGAGGTGATCTTTATCACCTCCCTCAATTTACAGAAAAGGCTATTGATACCCAGTGACTTGTTGGAGATCACATAGCTGCTTAAGGGCAATGTTCATATCTCCTCCCCTGTGCATGTCAAAACTTGCAACTGTGTAGGCCACAGTCACACCCCAGCTCAGAATCAACACCCTCAGCCTTTCATTTTGCCTTGAATGGCAGCTGGTGGCTTCCTCCTCCCATGGAGCCTCCCCACCCCTTCAGGACTTCAAGGCGTCAGCTCACCTGTGCTCCACCAGGAAGCTTCCAGCTTTCCCTATCAGCAATGATTGTCATGACTCCTTCCCCCAGTATGATTTTAAAATACCCTCCTGTGCCTGGCACTATTCTAGGACCAACAACCCCATATTTTGGGAGAGGGGAATATTGGAGAATTTTCTTCACTTCCCTGGGTATGGCAATGCCTTATACTTCAACTACTAGCACAGGGTTGGAATTTACCCGCTACTTATTGAGCTGGGCTGAAAACGTCTTGGAAATGCAATTGCTTTATATAGGTACCACCAATACATAAGAACATTCATATAGAATAGCAATACAATTGAATCCCTAAGGGAAATTTAAGTATAATACTAAGGTTTTGACGTCCTGAGATTAAGTTTTACAATATCAATTGCTGCAAGGGAAAGATGAATCTTGCCCTATCTTTTTGAAGGTAGCAAAACTTCCGGATCACTTTGAAACGTCTGCGCTTTTAAGGACACATTTGGCCCATATTCTTCATTCTGGACTTTAGCTAATGTGCAGGGAGTTTGAGGCCTAGGAGTGGGAGGGATCAAAAGACTCTGACAGTGGAGGGCCTGGCTGCAAAGGCCTCACATCACATGACCATCTGGAGTCTCATTTTCCAAGGATATCCTGTTACCTGCACATGGGTTGGAAACTGTGTTCCAAGATGTAACACCATTTTTTTATCTTCTCTTTTTGGGATAGCCAGGATAGTTTGCGTTTCCATGTAAAAATGTTCCTGTCCTTCCACGTGGACCTCACCTATAAAGCATAAACACAGGGCAGCATTTAATCACGAGTTACAGTGTGGGAGCTCTTGGTGGAGTTTTGCTTATAAAGAGTGAGCTGCTTCAGTTTATGGAGTGCCAGACTTTATATCATTTGATTAAGCCACTTTTTCTAATCCACTCGGTGCTCAACCAGCTGAGTGACCCTAGGTAATCCACTTCACCTCTCTTAGCCTCAGTTTCCTCTTCTGTGTAGTGAGTGGCTAGACCTGCGATGTGCTGAACTTGAGAGCACAGACTAATCTGACTACATACCCAGGTGCAGCCACCGCCTTGCTCAGTGAATTTGGGCAAGTTATTAAATCCCAGTTTCCTCAGCTATAAAATGGGGGAAAATATGTACCTCCATTAGGTGATGTTGAGGATTATTGAGTCACAGGAAGAATAAGTAACTTGCTAAAGGACATACAGGTTTAAAATGGCAGAGCTGAGGTTGTTCCCTTCCCTAAAACCAGCCTACTCTTACTGGTTTACATAAGTTTTTCGGCTTGTTCGGTACATCCTTATCTTTTGTAGGCTATACCAAGAGAGGCATTTGGCCCTTGTTTAAATTTCTGAAGATAGTGTTTTCACTTTATAACTACCTGAAAGACCCTGTGCTGTTAAAACAAGTGAATTGTTTGCCAGAGTCAAAGGTTTATTTAAAATTATTTCTTGGGACAATAGAATGCGAGTCATGCAAAAATGCCCTCCACCCCTCCAAAAAAGTCTGCTTACAGAGTGTATATGACTTCAAGCTAAAATCAACATAATTTTGTTTTAAATTTTTTAACAGGAGAAAGGGTTTATTTGAAATTTTTTAAGCAGGAGAAATAGGGTTATTTCACCTGCATGTGGAGGGAAGGCTCACAGAAATGAACTGCAAACCTCAAAGAGGTGGTCAGGCCCGGAAGCTTACATACCATTTTAACAAAGGACGATAAATTTGTGGAGAAGGGGCAAGACAAAGGAAAGGGGTTTTGAGCTTCTAGGGGTGGTAAATTGTGAGAAGATAAATATTTAGGGGAAACTAATATAAGATAAACGTTATATTAGTGAGGTTTGTCATGCAGATTCCTCTCACTGCCATCTCTGGGCTGATAAGAGTCTAGAGTTGCCTCTTGTTCTGCCCTTCTTGGTACAAGAGAGAGGAATGGGAACCTCTTCAAAAAGAGAAATTTATGCCCCACTTTTAGGTAAATTGGGAGAAGGTTAGAGAGCTTTTTTCTATGTCTGCTGATTCTTAATTGCCTTCAGCTCAAAATAATATTTTATTTTGGCATATTTTGAACTCAAATTTACTTATTAACAATTATACAGTGTTTACAATATGCTAGGTATTTTTCTAAGGCTTAGTGCTTTATAAACAATTAATTCATTTAATCCTCCTACCAATCCCGTGAGGCATGTATTATTATCTCCGTTTTGCCAGATGGGCATCTGAGACAGGGAAAGGTTAAGTAAGCTGCCCAAGGTCACATAGGTAGTAAGTAGCAGAGCTGGGATTCAAACCTAGGCAGCTTGACTCCAGACTTCATGTTCTTAATCACTACAACCATTTCTCCATGTTGGCATGCTCTGTGACTCTTAGTCATTCCTGCCCAAATTCCTTTCCCGTTTCAAATTTTCCACTCGTGCCAAAATTCTGAACTCCCACAATTGCCAAAATCCAAAATGGCAAAGATCCCAAATGGCAAAATCATGAGTGGTGCCTCATTAATCTTCTGCCTTTTGGGTAACAATGACAATTAAAAGAAAATATACTATGTTGCTTAGAGCAAGGCCTTAGAGTCAGCCAGTCCTGGGCTACATTCCTGGTTCTACTGCTACCCAGATATGAGATCTCAGTTTTATAAACCTTATCAACTTTCATAAGCCTCAGTTTCCTTATTTTAAAAATGAAGCTACTGATATGCTCCTTTTCAGAGTTGTTCTGCTTGCATGTTAAATAGTAAGCAGTAAATACTTAGTAGCTCAAAATAGGTTTAATAATAATACTAATCTCTGAGAGTTGATATTAGGATTAAATCATATAATACATGTAAGATGTTTAGCATGGTGTCCGGCACAGTAAGTACTTGATAAATGTTGGCTGATAATATTATTATTAAATAATATTTGGCCCCAATTTATAGTTTTTATAAAATCTCACTTAATTGTTTAAATAAAATCCATTACAAGCAATGAATGTTTGGCATAAGTAGTAGATACTATCAAACTTCTGAGCATCTCTCATGCGTTTACTGGCTGTATCTAACTACTCTTCTGAGGTAGTGATGTGTTCTTATAATTGGGAAGCAGCCTACATTTTCTACTTAAACAGAATGATGTTGACAAACAAGTATTCTAAAGGTTTTTCCTAGGTTTTAATAATAAAAAAAAGCTTACAGCACTTGCCATTCCAGTTATGTAGAAGTAGGTAATAGATCCTGTGAAAATGACTACTCTCTCTTACCAAAGATCAATAGCGATTCTGTCAATAAAGACAGATGTAGTTATCAACTTTGGCCACACATTAGAATTTCCTGGGGAGCTTTTTAAATAATATTAATGCTCTGACCCTATAGTCCAAGATTCTAATTTCACTGGTCTGGGGTGTGATCTAGGTATTGCTGTTTTTAAAAATTATACTAACTAGGTCTTAGCCAGTGCACTAAGTCACAATAAACCAAAAAAACAGATAATAGTATCAAGGACTAGAAAACATAAATAAAACTGTCATGACAAGATTATGTCCATAGAAAACTCAAGAAAATCTCTAAGACTATTGAGCTAGTAAGTGAATTTAGCAAAGTTGCTACATATAAAACCAATATACAAAAATTAATTGTGTTTTTATATGCTAGACACAAGTAGAAAATTAAGTAAAAATAATATCATTTACCATAGCATCACAAAATATCAAATACTAGGAATCTATATTAAGAAGAGTGTGCAAAATCTCTGTAGTGAACACTAGAAAAATTACTGAGAAATTAAAGAAAACCTAAATAAAAGGCAAGGTCTGCCATGTTCATGTATTAGAATCCTTAATATCATTTAGGTTTCAATCCTTTCAAATTGATATATTGTTTCAATGCAATCCCAATCAAACCCCCCACCAAGTTATTTTTGGTGGAATTGATGAACTAGTGATAAATTTATGTGGAAATGCAAAAAACCTATAATAGCTAAGGTAATATTGGAGAAGCAGCAGGAAATTATCAGATTTCAAGACTTAATATAAAGTTACAGCAAGTAAGGCACTGTGGTATTAGCATAAATGTAAGTAAATAGACTAATAGAATATAATAGAGAATTCAGAAATAGAACACGTATATAGACACCTGAAAAACAAGAAACCTGCAGTGCAATTCAGTAAGGGAAAGGATATTCTTCAATAAATGGTGTTGGGTCAATTGAATAGCCACATGAAAGAAATGTAATCTTGACCACTAGCTCATACCATACAAAAAATTAATTTAAGATGAATCGTAGAGCTAAATGCAAAAGCTAAAATAATTAAGATTCTAACAGAAAATGTAGAAGAATAAATTCATGACCTTTGGATAGGCAAAAATTTCTTCAATGCACACAGAGCACTAACTATAAAGAAAAGACTGACAAATTGACTTTCATTAAAATAAAAAAATTATTTATAAAAAGGCACCATAAAGAGAGTGAAAAGGTAACCCACAGGCTGGGAAAAGATTATAACCAATCTAAAACAATAAGAAACCTCCTATAAATCAGTTAGTAAATAATTATTTAACAGTCGTTATATTATA